TTTTTAAAATGTATATAGGAAATAATTTTCATATTGTAGATTGTTTACTGAATAAGGACTGAAATTTCAATTGGGCGTTTTTTTTTTTTCAATAAAATATTTTTATTTATTTATTTACAAATTTACAAATGCTGTTTTTTTTTTAAAAATTAGAAACAGAATAAGTAAATATCCACTGTCTCATTATAGCTACTGTATGTGTAAAATGGATTCCTACTTCGAATAAATAATTTTGTTATGATGCAACGCGCGTGTAAGACATGAACGAAAGATCTGAAATATGGCAAGGAGGTTTTGAAATTTTAATAATCTGTAAAATCTCTGAGGGGGAAATGTGTCAAAGTATTTTAGTGGGGAGAGAAAAAAAGAAAAAAACACACCAAATACTGTTTCTCCAATGCCCAGGCATCAGTAATGATCACAGTTTGCCTCAAAACATTTGCTTTTAACAAAAGTAAATTTCACATTAGAAAGTAAAGGAAAGTCAATGTTGGCCCAGGGCAGTATTTTTATCTTAAATATGACAAACCGAACGCACGCAAAAAGCCGACATGTCAGAGGCTAAGCCGCCGTGCAGGTCTGTTGTCCTCCTTCGCCTCATGCTCGGAATAATAATCAGCTCAATCAGCTCAGCTTAGAACAGACAAAAGGCAAATAATGAATTCATCTCGCCGCAGCTTTAAACGCGCCTCGGCAGTAACAGTCCCACTGCTGCAGCCTTATCAGTACCTTGTATATGTAGGTGTACATATACATATATATGTGTGTATATATGTATGTATACATGTACATATACAGTATGTGTGGCTGTATATAATATAGATATAAACATATACACATACATTTTTGCTCTCTCTCTATATATATATATAAATAAATATATGTTTGTATATATGTTTATGTATGTATATATATTGAATTTATTTTACTGTGGCTTCAAATGTGTCTCAGCAGCAAAATTCCCACTGCTGCAGCTTTAGCAGTACCTTGTATATGTGTGTATCTATATATATATATACATATATCTGTGTATATATGTATATGTGTATACATGTATGTATCTGTGTGTATATATGTATGAATATATGTATGTATATATTAGGTATATGTGTATATATACAATATATGTGTATATATAGATATGTATATACATATATATGTATACGTATATACATATATAAACATATATACAAACATATATTTATTTATATATATATAAAGAGAGAGAGAGAGAGAGCCCTCTTCATGTGCAAAACTCGAGTTCACAGTGTGACTCTGCAACAGGGGCTGTAACTCAGACTAATGCTAAATGACTTCTGGGATTTTCCAGGTGATATATTTTGCTTGTCAAGAAAATTCCACCTTATTGAGCACAGCATTTAGATAAAAGTTTAAATGATACTGCAAAATGACTTCGCAGCGGTCCCAAGTGTCTACGGTGTTTACTTATCGAGGGTGGAGGGGGTTTGCTCCACTTATAGAGAATAATCGGCCGAATATTTGCAAACAGGGTTTTTTTCCCCCCTCCACTCTAATTAAACCTTATAAGTCTTTTAGGGACAGGGATATCCATAATACCAACGCGGAGAGCTGGTGACACCTAAAAGCCATAAAAACAAGACGGATGTTCATCAGCTGCGCAAATGAACTTTAATCAATCATACAAGTTAGCCGTGGAAATGTATTCTTTCGCGCGCATGAGAGTGCTGATGCTGACATAGGGATATAAATGAAAGCATTCTAATCAAGAGAAATTTCGGTGTATAATGGAGCGCAAATAAATAAATGGTGCCAGCTCTAAATAAGTGGAGGAAAAAAATGGGAACCAGAGACTGATCACGAAGAGGCCCATTGGAAAGTAGAGGATGGTTGTTGGAAGTGCAAGGGCGACACTCTGTGGATATGACTGGACATAACAGCACAGATGCAATATTGAAGAGGTGAGTTTTAGAGGCGGGAAAATGTAGTCAAGTCAATTTTGTTTGTATAGCACATATTCACAAATTACATTGGTCTCGATTGATTTAAAAATTTCAATTTTTTTTATATTCAACTTAATGCTGATTGGCAGATGTAAACTTTCATACCACTTCAGTAGGCAGTGTTTCATTGTACAAATGCGTATCTTTGTAAAAGTGAAATATTTTCAAATTAAATTAATTAAATTAAAATTAGTCAAATTTTCAATGTCATGGTGTGTTACAGATAAATGTAATTTCTTATGTTTTTTTCAATTATAATTAAATGTAATTTTAATTAGTTGTGTATTTCAATATTAATTTGTATTTGGGTTTGTTTATATTTTAGGAGCACTAAAAGGTCAAAATCAAACTGATCTGTCATGAACATCACTTAGACTAGTGGTTTTTCAACATTGGGGTCGCGACCCCACATGTGTTTCAATCTGGAATGTCTAGTAATGGATTGAAAAAAAATGTTTTTTTTTAACCCCACTAACAATTAATATATATAAATATATAAAAAATATATAATATAAATGTATATATGCATAAATATATATATGGTGTAAATAAATATAAAAATATTGGAATAGGAATGTATATAGTATATACATATATTTCCCACATATTTATATATATATGTATATTTTATATACATATGAATATATGTGTATGTACATAATACACAACAGTTTCTGTTATGAAGTTATTGCCCATTTTTCTGTATTTGTATATGGCTGTTTCAAATTGTTACTGTATACGATTATTGTAGTTACTGTGTTAAATGTGCATGAAGCCAAAGACGTGGAAAAATACAAGTTACGTCCTCATTGTTCCATGACTGTGCATGTTTGGCTGTGTGACTAAAGCTGTGCATTGCCTTATTTTCACATTCTTAACATCACTTCAGTGTGAAGAAAAATGTTGCCGTGTAGCCTCGTCTGCCCAGCGACACTTTGGTTTATCAAATCTGACTCCTTCAAAGATTTTCAGTTGGCTAAAAGAATACACAAACGTGCACATTTCTGTCAAACCAAGGGTCCCAAACCATATGCTGTCTCAGGTCCTGGAACAAAAAAAAACTGCCAGGTGAGAACATTTTAATCACCTTTGGAATGAGCGATTAGAATAATTATTTTAGGGTAGGGAGACGGCTTCTGCGGTTAACAACCCTCTGTTCAATATCACAACAAATTAGTTTGCGCTCATTAGTATGAGTTGTGCTAGCCTGGTGGTTTGGAATGCTCCGCTGGGAACTTGCTTATTACTCCCCGAGTGTGGAGCATGTAATTAGCATTCATCAAGCCCTATGTTTACATAATATCCCCTCCTCACAAATTTAATTTTAAACATTACATTACTTGTTGCCTGCTTGGTCATTGAGTGTCTTGCTTTCAAAACTAAATTGTTACATCGAGGGGTCAGCAGAACTTTGTCTGAACTCAGAAGTGCTTATGAGTTTGCTAGAAAGTTAATACTGTACTGATACTGTAGCACATGGATTAATCCAATTTGAATGAAAACACTACCGTGAGTTTTACTAAGGAAGAATCTTGTCGCAACCAAAGTTTAGAATCGAATGCAGGCGTGGGCAAACTTTGGACTCGCAGGCCACATTGGGTCCTAAAATTGAACAGGGGGTCCAGGTCAGGAGCAGATAGATGGAGCTAAACGCCTCAAATGCTAAAATGCTTTTTATCATTTTTTACGCCATCTATTGGGGAAACGTGGGTATTGCAGGGAAAAGGCAGAAGTATAATGATAATGTAAATATACAGTATATAATTTGGAAACATTTGGCGGGCCGCATCGGGTCCCCGGACCTTAGTTTGCCTGTGACCGGTCTAATGTGTTATGTAGCTACGTGTTCAAGAACACTCGTTAATTCCTAATGAGACAGTTTGAATTATTTTGAAAACTATTTAGTGAGAACTGTGGGTTCACTACATCATAATAATGCAACATATTTAATGTAATCCCAATAAAGGTAAAGGACTATTTCTTAAAATTAGGCAAAACATTTTTTATTTACTTATGTTGCATCTAAATATTTAGCAGTTAAATTAACGCTATATTATTGGACCTGTTAAACTAGACTTTAAAAGCTTTATATATATAATATATTAATTTTCTTTTTAATTATACAATTTGCATTATAGTACTTTTTTTTTAAATGTTTACCTATAAATTGCATTATTTTGGATAACTTTCTGTACAGTTTATTTTTATCACATCCTTAAAAATATTTTAATGTGTTGTTTCATGATTTCTAATACATGCTATTGCACGACAAATACATAAAAATGTGTTATTCTATTACTGCTGCACAAAAAAAATTGAATTTTATGGTTATATTTTTGGAATTTAAAACTAATTAGAATAGCTTACGAAGTAAAAATATTAAAAATGTTTGACAATTAACTTTCTTTACTAGATAATAGAACTGCGCCACCTATAAACCACCTGTAGTGGCCAAAAATAGCATATAGTAAATAGTGCACTAATTAGAAATAATAAATAGTTATAGATTAGAAGAACAAAACAAACAAATAAATACATTTTAAGACAATTTGAATAGTATATCAAACATATACATGCGCTATTGTGGGTCCCAAATCCAGACGATTTACAAGCCTGCCAAATAGTGTGTATATACTGTATGTACAGTATATATTCTATTTAAACTCAATGGGAAACGCCATCTAGTGGTGGATTGTATTCTAGTATTTAACGCCCGTCGATTCATCACTCCCTTATAGCCTCAAAATATTAGTCGATTTATGAAAAAAACAAAGGAAAACAACATGTTTTTCAGCCCACGAATGAGGTAATTCTTAGGTAATAAATATATACATTTAAATCACTATTCTTACTTTTAAGTAAGTGACGTTTTAACTGCTTAAAATGAAAATATGAACATGAACATACATTAAAAAAAACCCGTTTCATCACACTGAAACCTGTTAGAAATCCTGTGTGTCTTTTGTTGTGGTATTTCTTTTTTGTCTTTAAGACGTTGCAGACGGGGCTGCAGTTTGCTTTGCAGGGGACAGAATTGTTGTGCGCACACACTTCCTGATGGAGCTGCCGCTGTTGCGAAGAATAAAAATACACTCCTAGCACGGCAGCTTAATGAGTTCGAAAAAAGTTATGTATTGCTGTCAGGTGAATAGAGAGAGAGTTATTTTGACAATGGACTGCATTCTCCGACGTTGTGTTCATGAACAGTAAGAAAGAAAGCTCCATGTCCAGAGTGCCGCCGCTGAAGACAAGTCAACTGCGAAGGGTTTGTCTCGAAGCTAACGAGTCCCGGTAGCCTTAGCCACCAGGCCAGCTAGCTCTTACAGCCTAGGCCTCCGCTGTCTGTTTTTTTATTTGTAATTAGCCATTCATCTAGCGTAACTGTCGTCCGCGTCGTTCTAAAATGTCCCGTCACTTAGCTCTACTTGGACCTGAAGCTAATTAATGTTTCGTTTGACTTAGTGACTTTATTTTTCAGCTACAGTTAGCTACGCGAGTTAGGCTCCGCAGTTACAGCTGGTTCACTGCATTGGACAACTGACAGAAAGTCTTTTTTGGCTCGTTTGACAGTTTGAGGCATTGGTTGAAATTAATGGAGGTAATTCGCGCCAATGCGTCACTGTCCTTAATTAAGAGGATAACTCCGCGTATCATTTGTGCTTAGGCTAATTGATAGGGCGTCAACTCATGCTGTGTTTGTTTTACTTTACTTTAGTAAGTTACTAGCTGACATTAGCTGGTAATGTCTATAGCCTTACCACCCGCCGATATGCTTGAAACACCCCCTGGATATCCATTTGAGGAAATCAACTATGACAACATTGAAGTGGAGGAGGTAGGTAGAATTTTTTTTTTTTTTTTTCCCAACCATTTTTTTGTTGCACAAAAAAGCACTAAACCCCGTCTGGTTGTGTTCTTACCTTAATTCAATATTGAATGGATTGATTTAAGTAAAACTTACATCTGTCTGTCATATTTAATTGTAATCTCATAGCAGGCAGGTGACGGTGTTGTGTAAAAAATAAAATAAAATAAAAATGAAGAAGTAACAGTTTCAATTTGTATATTGCTGTCACTATCACCATACTTAGCTTTGAGTATTTTATTCTGAATGGACAATGTAGTTTGGTTGACAATGTAACAAGTGGGTCAGAATGTTTAAAATCATACTCTATATTTCATGTTTTTTGATGACCTGATATGGTTTTGCAAATATTTCCAAAAACTAAAGAATAATACATTTGTTTGTACAGTACTTTAAATATTACCATCAGGTTTGCAGTTTCTGTCGCCTGTTTTCATTTGTTCTTGTAGTTTTACACTAAAACTTGCATTAAACATGTGTCATTGGACCAAAGTTTCTTGTTGACTGTGATTTGTTCCTTATATCCATGAGAAGCTCCCAAACAGTATCTCAAAGTATTAATGAACCTCGTTTTAGACTGCAACCAGCACATAGTGTCCATGAGAGTTCCACTTATTCCCAATACCCAGTAAATATTGAATAGACACACGTGTTAACATGTCTCTGTATCTTATCTGTGTGTTTTTCAGGTGGTGGGTAGAGGAGCTTTTGGGGTTGTGTGCAAAGCCAAATGGAAAGGCAAAGATGTTGCGATCAAGACCATCGAGAGTGAATCAGAAAGGAAAGCCTTTATTGTGGAGGTACTGTTGACATGCCTTTTTTCTCTATATCCATCCATCTATCCATCCATCACAGTCCATTATTCGGGGCTGGGGCGTGGGATTGACAGTCTTAGCAGGAACACCCAGACTTCCCTCTCTCCAGACACTTCCTCCCACTCTTCTGGGGGGTATCCTGAAGCGTTCCCAGGCCAGCCGAGCGACATAGTCGCTCCATCGTTTCCTGGGTCTCCTCCTAGTGGTGTTCGTATGTAGTGGTAGCCGTATAGCCGTAGGTCTGTTGTAGTGTAGAAGGAGCTGAGCTGAAAGGCCAAGTTCTCGATTTACCGGTCAATCTATGTTCACCTACCTTCACCTATGGTCATGAACTGTTTGTCATGACTGAAAGAACAAGATCCCAGATGCAAGCGACCGAAATGAGGGTGGCAGGGCACTCCCTTAGAGATAGGATGAGGAGCTCTGTCACCCTGGAAGAGCTCGGAGTAGAGCCACTGCTCTTCCATACACAGAATAGCGAATTTTCAGTCAAATTAATGTGATAATAAATAGCACATATATCAGTCGGACTGCATGGTTGAGCACTCCCTTAGAGATAGGATGAGGACATCCTATAATATGTCAAATAAATGTGATAATAAATAGCACACATATCAGTCGGACTGCATGGTGGACTCGAACCACAGACTGGAGTAGCTCCGTTGTGTCACTGTCAAATGTAAATGATAATTTCAATGTCTCACCTGTTTGTATTTACGCCATTTATTGTTTTGCATCTGTGGATGAAAACTTTTTTTTGTCAGTTTAACGTGAGAAGCAAAGTGATTACGTAAAACAACAGGGATTCCAGTAGCCTCAGGTTTTTACAATGTCTTGCTATGACTTGTTTATTTAAGAAAGAGCAATATACATTCTTTCAACGTTCTTTCAGTTACAGTTCTAATTGGAATGAAATGTTGTTTCTTAAAATTATGAAACATAACTAACTGGCTCCTTGCAGCACTGCTGAATGTCAATGTTTCATTCATTTTCAGCAGTTACACCTGTTATAAATGCTCTCCAACAAATGGCATGTGGCCCTAAATCTCTTCTTTCTTTCTTTTTCTTTTTTTCTCAGCTCCGGCAACTTTCACGTGTGAATCACCCCAACATTGTGAAGTTGTATGGTTCTTGCAATAACCCTGTAAGTTTACAGTAATATTATTGTGTGTATTATTTTAGTGCACTGTAAACGTGCTGTCAGTAAAGTGTGATATAATACGATGTTTGTTTTCTTCCTGATTTGGTTTATTTTTATTCACATCAGGTCTGTCTTGTAATGGAATATGCTGAAGGCGGTTCACTGTATAATGGTGAGTTTACAAGTTGTGCTAGAGAACTGCAATTTTATGTCAGTATAGATGGCTTTTGTCTTAACCAACATTGGGGTCGTGACCCCATGTGTGGTCATATGGAATTCAAATGGAGTTCTATGAAATGCCTAGTAATTGAAAAAAAAAAGAATTACTGATAAAAGATATTTTTCTACTATTTTTTTTTTTACAAATTACGATTAAAAACACCGCACACAATTCTAAACAACTATATTCTTTCACTTCCATGATCAAAAACGTATCGTAATTTTTAATTAAAAAGTTAGGTTAGTTTAAGCCATAAAGCCTTTAAAAAATATAATTAAGAAGAAATCCCTTCTTTTCTTATAACAACAGCATTACATGATGTTTTAAGTAGAGTTATTAATTAGTTATGGCTCATTAATTACAGTAGGAGGCATCCCAGCTATAAATGAATTGACATGTTTTCAGAAGGCTTCAGATTCCAGTACAAGTCAGCTGTGTTTAACAGTTGCCTCTTTATAAAAATTAAAGTACAGACTTCCTGACCATCAGATAGTAAAGAGATATTCACAGAATCGTTACCTCCTATCACGTGTGTTTGCTCTTTACTTGTAAAGCAAATAAGAGCTACTGTGACAAAGGTCAACCCTGTGTATGTGTGTGTGTGTTGTCATTCTTTGTGGGGGTTTTTTATCGAATTGGAATTTCCATGATATTCTGAAGAGGAATTTCTTTCTCCTCTGGATGTGACAGTAGCTGTGATTCTGCCCTTTTGTCCACAGTGTTGCATGGTGCTGAACCCCTCCCCTATTACACTGCTTCCCATGCCATGAGCTGGTGTTTACAGTGCTCCCAAGGCGTCGCCTATCTCCATGGCATGAAACCAAAGGCTCTCATTCACAGAGACCTCAAGCCACCCAAGTATGTGTCGTCTTACCTCCGCTCCGTGTTTCCAAGATCACTGTTGGGGTTCATAGGAACACATTTTGATCAAGCTGCATGTCTGTACAGTTCTCAAAATGTTATTATGCACTATGTAGACACAGGCATTTCTTAACTGAGATGTAATCGTGGCTCTGTTTTTGTATGTGACATGTGCATCTTTACAAAGAACTGCAGAGTCAAGCTTGAGTCCAACTCATTCTTGTTGGTTATTTTCTTTTGTCATAGTTTGGTGCTACCCAATCCAGTACAACAATGAAAACATGGGTGACATTTTATACTTTATATTCCTTGGACATAGAAAGACTTATGTTCATGTAACTTGTTTATATTAAATCTCATACGTCCTGATGATACTGATATATTAGATACTGGTTAGCCCCAATAGAAAGCACTACTAGGGCATATTTAGTTGTGATGTTCCTTGTGGGAAGGAAAGGAGGAAAACTCTGGACTAGTTTTAAGGAATAATGGATTATTTCTGAAGTACTTTGTTTTAGGTCTTTTGTGTTCAATCCTTACAAAGTCGCACCGAGTTTGAAGCGTCTTAATGTCGTTCCCTCCGCTTTGTTTCCAGTTTGCTTCTAGTGGCAGGCGGCACTGTGCTGAAGATATGTGACTTTGGAACAGCTTGTGACATACAGACCCACATGACCAACAACAAAGGAAGTGCAGCATGGATGGCTCCCGAGGTATTTGAAGGCAAGTAAACAAAATATTCCACATATCTTTTTGGTAAAATATACTGGTGTTAATTTTTCAGAAATGTTTTTATTTTACTGGAACACATTCATAAAGTTTTCAGTGGTTGGTACCTCTAACACACACATATCAAATTCAAGGCCCGGGGGCCAAATGCGGCCCGCCAAGCCGTTTTGTGTGGCCCGCGGGAGCTTAAAAAGTATTTAGTAAAGTCCATGCAGCAGAGTTTCTTAACCTAGGTAATTAAGAGTTTAGGGAGTAATTACATCTATACCAGCGGTCACCAACCTTTTTTGTTCCAAGGACTGGTCAGCCAGTACCACCCGTTAATACAGATCGGTGCTGCTGAAGGTGCTGAGCATTTTTTCCACTGTGTCCCACTGCGGCCTGGTACCAAATTAATTATGGACTGGTACCAGTCCGCAAACCAGGGGTTGAGGACCCCTGATATAAACAATCTTACAACCGGCCCTTCAAGGGGAACTGTATTGCTGATGTGGCCCCTGGTGAAAATTAGTTTGACACCCCTGCTCTAACAGGTTAAACTTCTTCAGTTATTATAGTGGAAATGCACAATCACTGGACATATGTGACGCTATCAGCCAATTAAGGCGTTAGATCCCTGGTTAAATCCACCCAAATATCCAACTCCAGGTTCTGATTGGGGAGAGATTGTGTTAAAAAGGGCGTTTGATCGTTACGTACGGCATGTTGCGCAAAGTTAGTTATTTTAGCATTTTGGCTTACGTATGGGATCAAACGTGCTACAGTAGTTGTTTTCGATGTTTGACCGTGATATTTTTGATCAATAGACAATACCGATCCTGGGTATCGAACAAGCAATCCCTAATACGCACGCAATCCACTGAACTTTCTCAGCTTCTTCCTTACATATAGCACAGAGGCATTACATTTGAAGTTATCATGAAGCACTTTTCCCTGTTTATTTAGTAGTAGGCTTGAAAATGAATCAAGGTTCTTTACCTTTTGGCTTTTATTTTCTTCAGGAGACGGCAGTGAAGAGCTTTTGTTCACTTTAAGCCAGTTCACTAAAATCCCCAGTCATTATCTTGTTTTTGGAGTCAACTTGGAAAGTCTCAACTTCACTGCTCACATTTGCCCTCTGTGTGAACTCTGAAACGACTCGTTTGCATGAAAGGGGAAATGTTATCAGAATGACTCCACGTAGTAAAGTAAAACGGAGCACTTATCGTTGTAATAATGGCCCTTGTAATTGAGCAACAGAGGAGCTGTTGTGTAAATTAAAAAATGCTTCCTTATTTTTTTTTATTTATTTTTTTTATCCTGGGTCCTTCTGAAAACAGATGAGATAAAAGGGTTCTATGTTTTCCCCAAACAGCATCATTCTCCCCGTCCCTAATGTGCCTTTTCTGTGTTTGGAATGATTCGAAATGTGTTGTTGTGGATTTTCTGTGTACTTGCAGGCAGCAATTACAGTGAGAAATGTGATGTGTTCAGTTGGGGAATTATTCTTTGGGAAGTCATTACACGCAGAAAACCCTTTGATGAAATCGGAGGACCAGCTTTCCGCATCATGTGGGCTGTGCACAACGGTGAGTTGCTAAATGTTTAAATGGGGGGGGGAGACCACTCCAATTCTCACCCTGGGGATAAATAGAAAGAGTTGGGCTAAAGGGAGGTGCTTGAAGATTCAGCACAGTTTACACAAGTATAGATACAAGAAGTTTTAGTACTAATAAGTACTCATCTACTTATTTTTATTATGTATTTCAAAGACAACAAAATCCTTCTGCTCTGTTGCGCAAAACTATGTTTTCCATATGGAGTTTTTGAGAGATCTTTTTTTTTTTATTATTTCCTTTTTGCATACAGGTACTAGACCTCCTTTAATCAAAAATCTGCCAAAGCCCATTGAGAGTTTGATGACTCGCTGTTGGTCTAAAGACCCTTCCCAGCGCCCTTCCATGGAGGAGATAGTAAAGATCATGACCCACCTAATGAGGGTAAGGTATCCCCCTTTGCTGAATCTGACTGTATCGTCCAGTGGTCAGGCAAAATGTAAACAATAACTGAACTTTACCAATCTTAAAAATTGTAACCTCCGATGACACATTAGAATTAATTTAACGTACACAAAATTAAGTGCAGTTCAAGTTTTGGAGTGTGTTTGCATAAATTTAAGTTGGTTTTTGCCAGATTTATTTTACCACTTTGACTTTTTCTTTCAGTACTTCCCGGAATCTGATGAGCCCTTGCAATATCCATACCAGTATTCAGACGATGGCCAAAGTAACTCTGCAACTAGCACAGGTACAGGAGGTGTCTGCTAATCTACGTACAGCACAAGAAAACACTTATAAATATCATGTATACGTTAGCATAAGTTAATTGTGAGTATTTGACTGTACTGAGCCTCCACAGATTTACTAAACTTATTTACTGTGGTCCATCCACTACAGCACAAACGGTCTAAACAAGACAAATGATATTATTATATTATATTTTATTTAGATGTCAGAGAAAATCAGAGACCACACCTGTATATTATGGAGTATGTAGGAAATGGTGCTGCACAGTTTATTCACCCCCGTTAAAGTGCATCTCCAGCTAAGCTGGACCATCTCCAAGTCCGCAGTCGGACCACCTCTGGTGCATCTCCAGTCTGCTTTTATTTGGCAAACACCAGACTTGTCTCAAAACTTGTGCGTTCTTTGAAAACCCAGACACGTTTTTAGTTTTGCATTTGTTAAACACTGTCCACATAGCACGGATTGTGCAGTGCTAACAGTTACATGTTGACTTTTGCGTTTGCTGTAAAACAACCAGGTTCATACCTGGACTACACTGGCAACAGCACAAGCAACAAAAGCGACGCAAACATGGAGCACAGTGATTCTCAAGGGAGCAGCAACGACACTATCAAGATAACGCCTCAGTTTGCACACCATTTTAAGCCAAAGGTACGTCCACTGTTCACTGTTTTAAAACATTTTGCCATCAAACTATCTTCCGGTTATAGTTACTGCAGCCATATATCAAAATCAGTGACAAAAACCTCATCCTTAGGAGCTTAGACTTTGTTCTCCTATTGTTTAGGGTGACCCCTTGAGGACTCTGCCTTTGTCCAGAGGGGGCAGCGTTGAGAGTCTCCCTGCACGGACTCAGTGCCTGGCATCATCTGATAGCAAAAGAATGAGTGCTGACCTGTCAGAGCTGGAGCCCAAGGTGCCATTCGCACCTGCAGGTAATGTCACAAATTGCAACACAAAATTTTAAAGGGATTATATTTTTGTTTTGTAGTTTAAACTTAAAAAACATACCTTTATCTAAGAAAAATGAATCGCAGAGGTGCAACCAATTGTATTCTGAGTAATTATTTTTATTTAAAAAAAAAAAAAAAACATTTTCAAGCCTGTCACACCTAGCTGTCATCTCCTTCAAAGACTTTGAGAGAAAAACAACAGTTGCTGTTGTGATGTCGTGGTCATGTGGAGCCTCTCTACCCCTGGTTAGTTAATTTTAATTAGATTTAGGTACAGCAAACCCATTATGTCCGTCATTTTAACAAGTTTTAATTTACTGCATGCTTATGTTTGTGCTGATAAATGTAAGCCAGTGGATGCTTCACTGTGCCTGGTTTGGATAAGGTGCATGCTGGTCTTGCACATAGATGCTATGTCGTGCATGTGTGTAGCCTACATCGCCAGTGAAGCTGCGAGCCTCCCCCAGTCCGTCTCAGTCTGCATGCTTGTTGTGTACGTAGCTCTATGTATTTGTATGTGTTTTTTCGCAGCCAGCTCACAGTATAAACGAGGCCACCGTAAAACTGCATCTTTCGGCACCATTCTGGATGTCCCCAAGATCGTCATAACAGGTACCACTTAGACCACTGGGTTACCTGATGACTGGTTGGAGCTGGATTAGCTCAGCCAGGGTTTTGCTGTGCTCCTGTGTGTCACTCCGTACTGTATTTTTTTTTTTTTACACACAATTAAGAACTATAATTACAATCCGCATGTGTCCAAAGTCAACAGTGACACATGTTGGAGGACATTGAGCAGTTTCTGGACTAACACACATCAGAGTTCCTTGGGTTTTTTGTTTTTTGTCTTTCGAGTTTGGGACTGGTAGAGACGGAGCATGAGTTCAAATTGAAGCCTTCTCTTCTTTTTTTTAGATTTTTTTTTTAACCAACATTTAGTTTCCAACATTTAGATGCAACTAATGATTCAAATTCTCAGACTGATGCTTCTTCCATCCAAGGAAGAAGCTGAATTTACTAAATACTCATTTCAGTCCCATCACATGAGAAGTGCTTCCTGACTCATGGCCCTGTCTCATCCCTGGCTTGGCTGTATGGAATCATGACACCTCTTTGCACTTGTGCTTGCCCTTCGTCGTTTATGCGTAGAGGATTGCGAGAAAAGCATGGCACTCCAACCCCTCCACCCTCTCTCCTCTTGCTCTCTTTATATCCATTAACTTTGGGGGGGAAAAAAGTCATTTTGATTAATCTCTCTCAGATTGAAGGTCAAGGCTATTATTACAAGCAGAGATACGGATGAAGGGACCGGGGACAGCTCTGGATGACAGAAAAGGCTTCTATTTTTTGATCTGTGTGACACTTTGAATCAGGGGTTGATTTAATCCAGCGACCAATGGAATCAGTTGGTGCATGTTATTAAAGGTAGGGTACTTCTTTGATTGCATGTGAACACCTGGACATCAAGCCTTTGAACTTCAGTGCTAGAATGGTCATTAACGAGGGCTGTGCTGTACAAAGTTCACAGCACGGTATGTATTTTTGCAGTTCGCCCTTTCATTTATTGTCTTTAACAATAAATTTCACCTCATTGGTCTGAAAACTATTATTTACTGCGAATAATCTAATAGTCTTCCTCAACGCCACAATGACAGGCACAACATGTCTTCCTCAACGCCACAATGACAGGCATAACATTTAAGTAGTCTTCCACCAGGTGGAGCATGGCTGTAAAAAAAAAAAAAAAAAAAAAAAGACTAAGTGGTATTAGAGAAGATCTTTGTGCTTGTCTTTCTTCCATTCCTGTGAGTATATCAGCATTGAGTTCAACTAAACAGGCCCAGGTTTCACACTAAGTAAATTGTGGATAAAATAAAACTTGACGATCTTTTTGTAACAGATTTGATCGGTGGTGTGCGATGAGATTTTCCTAATATGAAATATCTGTCGTTGCTCAAAAGAGGTTAGGAAAGACTGCTCTAGTGCATCCCTTATTTTAATAGTCTAAATTTGGTTAGTTGTTTTAAGTGCTCTAGTGCATCCCTTATTTTAATAGACTACATTTGGTTAGTTGGTTTTTGTGTTTGTTTTGTTGTTGTTGAAGCCCTTTTATGTGCCCCTTAAAAAAGTATTTCGACTTTATTAAAAACCAAAAAAAAATTGACAAAACACATGACCCGTATAATTAAGTAATTCCTCGACCTAATTTTGCGACTCAAACGTAATCCCTAACAAAGCTTCAGGAACTTAATGTTCATAAATAAATACACACATACAGTATCATTACACACTGTCTGAGCAACAGCTGCAAAAGTAATTGGCCGCGGTGTTGGCATCCATATTAAGTAATAATTAGTTAACCAGCAGCATGAGTTGATTAAACCTTTCACATAATAAAAATAGATTCATGTGGATTAATGGCAAAGAAAAAGCCAGAAATAACATCACACCCAGACAGTTAAGATACAAGAATCTCTCTGCGTTCTTACCTGTGTCTACTCTGTGTGTACTAGTGTTCTGCTGTAGACGGAGCTTCTATCGAGCTTAGACTGGCTGAGGCCAGGAGATTGTCATGTTATGTAAGCGGCTGTGTAGTATTGTAGATAGCAGCAAAACAGGTACACACATACACACAGCAAATGTAGCACTTACTGCTTACTCATATCAGGTGTTATTGTGTGTGATATTTGGTTGAATAGTACTGCGCTGCAAGTGGAAAAATACGTTTTGTCAGTACAAATGTTTTTGTTTTTTTATAACAAACCACACTCTGAATCTTCAACTGCTGTGTTTATTGAACAAAAAAAACAGAGCTTGCTACATTTGTTGTGTATTACTTGGAACTAGTGTACTGTAATGTTGTGGTATGTGCATTGTAAAGGCAGGTTCATTTCGTCCCCTACTCTACATTAGAACTCAGTGTTGTTGTTGTTATGCTCAGCTGGTGATTGATTGATGACATGAAAACACAGTATCTACCAAGTCCTGGGGACCTTGTCCTTATCTCACCACCGGTCTGTAACCCAAACCAGTCTGCCAGTGCAAACCCGTCCCATAAGCAGACTGAGCTATTTTCAAAAATAGATATGGTCTTCAGTGATTGACGCGTACGTTTGTGGTGCGTCTGAGTGCTTCGAGCTCCGCGGTCACGTTCCAGGCATGCCGCGGCACATGACGACAGGCCAGAATGTAAATGGTTAAATCAGTGCAGCTGTCTCTGTGCTGCTCTGTTCCGTCTACTTCCGCCCACGAGAGGTCCAAAATTGAGCCCCCACTGTTACTAACCACAAACTGTTTTTAATCCCATTCTCTGCTGTCCTGTCCATCCTGTCCACAGCCACATGTGAGCCACAGAGACGTCGGTCAATGCAGGATCTGCCAGGCATCAGCACAGAGTCCAGCCAGGTAAGACGCCCTTTAGCACTAGATCTGGATAAACAATCAGTTCCATAATATGAAGCAAATTGTGGGATTTTTTTGGGGGGGAACGGAAAGATGTGTGTAGTATTGTTATATTTTTCAATATATCAACTATAAAATACATTCATACATTCAGATTATTTTTAAATAAATGGCTCAGATTGTATATTTAGACACGCATAATGTATGTCTAAAACCACTAGATTAGGAGCAAGATGCTAACTAAAGACATGCCAAATTTTAAGGTGAAAAGTCTGGCAAAATCTCACATTTTTCCTTGCTAATAATTACACTGTCATTAATTAGACCAGCGATATACAGAAAAGAGTTTTTTTTTGTGTCATAATTAGGAAGGTTGATTTTTCACAAATAATCATGATTAAGTTCAAATCAATGGACAGCTCTAAATGTAATATATATGTACTATATATATTTTGGGGGGTTTTTTGGGTTTTTTTTTTTTTTTTTGCTGATGGTCGTATTTTTGACGAGTGAAGAATTTCAGACATTGAGTGATTAATAAATAAGATACAAATACATCATGACTAGAACTGCCCATTACTTCTTGCGCACATTGTAATCCTCTGGCCAATGAGATTGAGTTTGTTTCCTCTCCCATTTATTCTTATTCTAGAAAACAATGAAAGACAGATGTTATTAGTGAGGAAAGTATTTTTTATATTCGCCTGCAGTATTTGTCCATTCGTTTTTATTTTGCTGTTTTGTGTTGACGCAGTACATACTGGAGCTCTACTGTTTCAATCGGCTGTAGTTTAGTTGTTTTGTTTGTTTGTATGTTTTTGTCGTTGCCGGTAGAATAAAAATTCCTAGACGACTAACAGTGGGTTTGTGCTCACGTTGCAGGGAAGCAGGAACAGCAGCCGGTCCTCCAGTCCTAGTGTAAGGATCATGCCACCTGATAAGACAGGCGGCAGAGGATACTTGCCCCCCGATGACCCTGCAGGTACTGGGACTGTCACATCAGGATCACCCTAGAGCAAATGGTTACAAATGTACAAGAGAAACTGCAATCAGTGCATGTAGATAGGAGTAGCTGAAGGAATAATGTTGCTGCTGAATTTTTTATACCATTAATGTCTTTTGCACTTGCAATTTGCAATGTAAAGCCAACTACAGATCCCATAAACACAAAATGTATGGCATATTCCGTAGGATCAGACTTCTGAGCATTTTGGTTTTACATCGACCAAATGGAACAAAAGAATTTGGAAACTGCTCTTCTGCTGCTGTGGTGCTTACACTGCACCTTCCTGTTTTCAACTTGTCATACACAGCAGTGTCAGCAGAAGTCCTTATCGGTGTGCATCAAATAATGAGCTGCTGCTTTCTGCACTGCCTGATATCACAATAATTAGAAAGAAATAAATATTACGGGGTTGGAAGGATGTATTTCATATTAGGAAAATTCCACAGCACACCACCAAACAAATCTGTTACAAAAAGTAGATAAAATGAAATATAGTAAGCTTCAAGTTTTATTTTATCCACAATTTACATAGTGTGAAACCTGGGCCTGTTTAGTTGAACCCAGTGCTGATATACTCACAGGAATGGAAGAAGGACGAGCACAAAGATCTTGTCTAATATAACTCATCTTTTTCTGGTTTGTTGTTATGGGCATGCACCACCTAGTGGAAGACTACTTAATTGTTGTGCCTGTCATTGTGGCATTAAGGAACAGCCAGATTTGATTAAGTGTACGTTAAAGTAGTAAAGCCAGATGGTGGGTCAGGGACAGGGGGTTTTGACAGGCTACGTGTCATATAAAATTTGACGTGGGCCACAGTTGGCTCTTGAGCCGTACTTTGGTCTAGAATTACCTTTGTTCATTTTTTTTAACATTTAATTGGACCTCCTGTGGTAATAAATCTGGCTTTGACACTCTGACGCTGTTTTCCTAGACACCAACGGCTCGGACAATTCCATTCCCATGGCTTATCTGACCCTGGATCACCAGCTGCAGGTAAATTAAGAAATCACAAATTGCATGTACGCTTTGAAAAGCGAAACCCATGGAAACCTCTGCACCAATGAGGGCAAGTTGTAAAATAACTTTATGAAAAGAATTTATGGTTTTATCATTGGCCTGTTTATGTACAGACACAAAAAGCCATTAATTGTTGTAAATAAAAAAAAAAAAATACTCTAAATGTGTTTGAAGTTTTACTTCTGGCTGCACAAAATGCTAACTTTTTTTTTTTTCTGATTTTGTTCACAGCCCCTTGCTCCCTGTCCTAACTCCAAAGAGTCCATGGCGGTGTTTGAGCAGCACTGTAAAATGGCCCAAGAATATCTGAAGGTGCAAACAGAGATCGCCTTGTTGATCCAGAGAAAGTAAGAACACGTACAGGAACCAGACTTTAACAAGAAAAATGTTTTGTTTTTGTTTTTTTGTTGTTTTTTTAGTGTTTCCTTTTGTGTCATTGGAGCAGTTCGCTTATATTTGTCATGGCATTATGTCATATATATGACATATATGACCTCAGCTTTATAGTCAAACTACATTGGTCAAATCAAAAAGAAAAAGAAAGAAAAGGTAATGAAGAAAACTGCATATTTTGTAATATCTGTAAGAATCGTTATCGTTTTTTTCCGATAATGAAAACCCGATAATGCAATTTTGCCGAATGTGAGCTCAAAAACGTCTTTTCCTCCTCTCACTCTCCGCACTCTCTATTCCTCATACACACACACTCTCACCACACCTCCTCACTCCCTATCTCATACCTGTAACTGTTAACTCTTTCATAACACAAAACATTATGAACCATAAACAAGCCTTTAGCCACTAGATGGCAGCATTGTAGCTCATTTTATAAATCTATATTGATAATCGGGATTGTATGCAGAAAGCTAATTTATTTCTGTCCCCTAGGGGGTGCAGAAAATAATTGAAAAAAAAAAAAAACACTTTAGTGAGCAGGCAGCACTTGCCCCGCTATATCGTAGCGGTTCATATCGGAATCAGAAATTAAGTGTTTGGACGATATCGGCAAAAAGTGAATATCGGACATCCCTTTTTAATACGATTGTGTTTGTGTGTGCGAACAGGAAGGAGCTGATTGCTGAACTGGACCAAGATGAGAAGGACCAGCAGAACACATCCCGTCTGGTGCAGGAGCACAAAAAGCTGCTGGAGGAGAACAAGAGTCTGTCCACGTACTACCAGAATTGCAAAAAGCAGCTGGAGCTGATTCGTGTCCAGCAACAAAAGAGGCAGGGGACTTCGTGATGAAGCCGCAGACGAAGGAACCTCCCACCACCCCACCACCCCCCCTCCCATCCCTTTCTTCACCCTGACTTGTCCCCTGCACTATCACACATACCCACCCACGCACACACAATCACAGACACACACACACACACTCTGTCGGGCCTGTATAGAGACCTTAATCCTCCTGCATGGTGTTTTTACAGATGCGATGTTTCCAGCAGGACAACCTGTGTCCTCTGCACAGACATTTGCACATCATCACTGTGTGTGAAGTCACTGACCACAGACCAAACAATCACTGCACCCTTCCTGCTCCTCCTCCACCCTGCCTCTGAACCCATCCGCTACTCGCAGACGGCACGTGTGAGGGCAGACCAAGAAACACTGCAGGGTTATCCCTAGGTTTTTTTTTTTTTATTTGTTTTTTTGCTCCTGTGGCTCGTGGGGCTGCTCGGTCAGTGGGTCGGTCGGTGTGTCCTCAGCCAGTTGTCCACACAATCCTTCAAGAATGTGAAAATCCCGACAAGACTCTTGGAGAAAAAGAGAAGAAGAAAAAAGTCGAAATGGACAGCTGTATGTGTTTTTAAGAAACACGGATGTTCGAAACCCTGTTATGCAAGACACGCCTTCACCTCCCTCGTCCTCCCAAACTATTTTATCTTTCGACACAAGGCCCGGCACGGGTCCACCTCCTCTGAGCGCGTCAACTGCTTAGAGACCAAAACGTACTTGATAATGACAGGTGCGAGCCTGAGCGTGAGCCCGAATTCAGCGTTAGCAAAAGCTGCTCTTTACATTTTAAACGGAAAGAACTGGTTTCCAGAGTTTCCAGAAAATGAAAAAAAAAAACTGAGAGAGCTGTGGATTCCCCTTTTTATTTGAGTTTTCAGTATTGTTTTTTTTTTTTTTTTTGCGTGATGATGTTTTTTGTCTTTTATATCCAGTAGTTCAATTTGTATGACAGCTGTGATAGGACATATTTTACCAGCCCATGGCGACATGCGCCTCCTACAGGCATGAATAGATTGGCCTGCGCTTCTCTATAGAGAAACTGAGTTGGTTTTTAGTTCACATGTTGCCTTAGGAGTTGCCTGAATTTTAAGTGCTTGTTCCATATATCATGTTGTGGGAACGAAAGCTGAAAAGAGAGATAATGGACACTTGATGAAAAACGTGGAATGTACATACTGTATATCGACGAATGGAATTTCCTACCAGCTTCAGATCCAAACCAATAGCATGTCCTGATGAAAGAAGATTATGGTGTTCTTTTTTTTTTTTCTTTTTTTTGGTCTTTTCATCCCTCAAGTATTTTTGCACAGTTGCTACGTTTCATCTGGCCATGTAAAAAAAAAAAATTCTTATTTACGCAAGTTTTTTTTTTTAAAGTAAAGACTAGACACATTTTACTTTTGAAACCACGAAAGGGAGAAGTCTGTGTTCCCCTCATCTGGTTTTTTTTTTTTTTAGCTCTCACGACGACTCACTCGGAGCAGTATGTGATAGTCAACATGGCATTATGAAATAAAATGAATGGTGAAAGTGCAGGTTGTCACGTGTGAATGTTTGTCCCCAACAGTATAACTAAACAGATTTTTTTTTTTTTTTGTTCGGTTGTTTGTTTGTGGGCGAACTGTATTGCACTGTACGTGAAAGTAAGGAAGAGGTGGTTCCCAAATTGGTGGGCTAAAGAGGCAAAGCAAAGAGAATATCGATTTTTAATTTTTTTATGAATACTGATCATCTTCCAACCAGAAAGTTGTAGGTTTGATTCCCGTAAAGTGCCGAATTACATCTGTACATTTATCTACTGCACTGACACTCTGGAAAACACAAGCGGAACTAGAGTGATCTGAAAGGTGCTGATTAGCTTTGTGGTGGTCCTGGGTCGATCCAAGATTGAGCGTTTTGTGCTGCCCCCTACTGGACGAGTGGTTAATGCTGTTGTTTTACAGTGAGATTTTTTTTTTTCCTGGTGCTCTGGTTTCAGGCAAGATTAGGTCGATTGTTCCCTAAATTGACATCAAGTATTAAAGTGACATTGAATGTTTTTCTATAAATGGCCCTGCTATAGGTTAGTGGACGGTCTACATTATTATTGTTGTTGTTATTATTACTATTATTGTTATCGTAATTGCAACTTGGCCCTTTGTTTGCAGGTGTTGCACTATTTCCTGTGTGCTTGGGTACCGTAAATTCTCATGTAAATTAGAAAGAGTAAATTTAATGAAAACGGACCATAAGGACATGTTGACAGCACATACTTCAAAATTTTATTTATTTCTTTAACTAAATGTAACCTGGTGTTTATACATATATAAAAAAAACAATATGACCCCAATAGTTTGTTGGAAATCACCTCGAAAATCATCAGTATTTCAGGATTACGTAACAAAAAGTAACAGGCGCAGTGTCATATCGGGCCAACAGATGGTGCTAAAGGTCCGCTGTTTCGTAAATGACGCAGGAGCCGAGAGGCTTGTTGTTCCGGAGACAAAGAGCTCACAGTACAGTATATCAGTGTCCAGCGTGAATGTGAGTGCTCATGATGTCATGCTGCATTATTGATCTGCTACACAGGGCTGAAATGATTTATCGCTGTAGAAATAGATTGAGTTACAAAAGCTGCGTCTGCCCCCGAGACCAGACAGCGCTGTGACACTCGAGCGGTTACAAAGGTTGAGAGGGTTTGCATTTCACACTAGGCGCGAATTAACTGCTGACAGAGAGCTTCTGTGTTTGTCTTTTATCGTCTATCGTCATCTTCGTCTTCTTTCTCTTCTTCTTCTTCGTTCTCGCTCTCGCTGTTTTCTCTTGTACTGCCAGCTAAAAGAGAAACAATGAGTCATTGTCTTCTTTGTGGAGGTCCGCGAGGAAAAGCGGGATGACTCCATAAGTGTGTGTGTGTGTGAGTGTGAGATAGTAGTTTTTAGTAGAATTGAAGTGTTTTCCTTTTCTTGTTAACGACGAATATTCCAGAAGGCTTCAATTACGCGCTTATGTGTTCTTTGTTCCAAATGCGCAATTCCTGTTATTGTTTCAGCGGGAAATAGTTTCACTTTATACAGTATTCTTAAATCATTGGCTAAGCAGTAATGACAGCATACAGCTGCTTCTGACAATATATATAACAATAATTTTGCTGCGTGTGCTTTTCTTCCTTTTTTAAAAAAATCAGCTAAAATATATTTTAAAAAAACGAATCTAAACCATAAACATGTCAATTTGTACTAAAGCTTCGGATCAAGTATTTAAGTATTTTAAAAAGTAACATTTTTCTCTATAGTAAACACAGGTAGTATCTTAATCAGAATCTTTATTTTTCTTTAAGTTTTTATAAATAAGAAATAGACATGGAGAGAAATAGAATATATATAAAATATAGAATATATATATAGAATATATATATAAATACATGCACACATATATGAGCTAGAAAAGCGCTGTAAACTTTTAATACAACAAAATGTACGATACAGTTTACGATGTCAACAGTTCTCCCTGTGACTGTTAAAACTATTCATTCTGAAAGTATTGGACAAATATTATTTTTAAAAAATAATTCAATATTTGTCCAATACTCCAATCCAAAATCATTGGGTATCCAGAAAATATGAGAATATTGTAAAATGAAAAAAAACTGATTGTGAGTAAAAGTACGTTAGGGATGTCCGATAGTATCGGTATAATATCGTTAATAATCGTTATTGGTATTTCCTCTGATAATGAAAACCCGATAGCGCAATGCTTGGGTTTCGCTCAAATGATATGACCTAAAAATAGTTTTGAAGTGAAAGAGAAAGTATTATTTGTATTGCGCATAGTATTGTCATTGTGACACAGCACATCATTGCACACAATGAAACCTGTACTCTCCCTGTAATCCAAACGGCTGCGTATATCGGTATCGGTTGATATCGGAATCGGAATATGGGTAGATGGGACATCCGCGAAAAGATCATATCGGACGTCCCTACTACACGAACGGACATTAAACCAAAGTGAATACCTGTTTATGGGATGTACTACAGTACATGGACAACCTTATCTGTAGTAATAGTATTGCTGCTTTTTTTTTTCACACCTTCCGGAACACGGCCATGTAGCGTTTACCTACTTTAAATTTTTATGAAGATCAACGAAATTTAAATAATCCAAGGCAGTAATGTTCGCCCGCCCCCTCGCCCCCCCATCCCTCACTCGTTCTCCCTCTCTTTGCCTACTTGCAACACAAAGTTGATGTTACACTTGGAAACCTGTGTGTGCTTTAGATTGTATCTATGGCATGGTAGCCATGGAAACTGGATGACATAAATAGGCTAGTGGTGGCAGAGAAAGGAGAGAGAGAGATGTTTTCTGTAATGGACAGAATTTGGGTCGTAACATCCTGCATGTTGGTCTATAAATTGCTCCGTGTGCCAGTTAGGATTCCATTAATCTGCAGGAGTCCCCAGTCGCTCTTTTAGGTGGCTGCAGGCCATTATTAACGACTTCATATTGTCTACTCCCCGCAGTCGAGCATGTCGGGAAAAACCTCGGTGCTCTCGCATCTCGCCACTTTGTTGTTTGTTCTACTGCTTAGAATTACACACAGGACTTTCAGCTGCAGTGACAGTGAGAATGTTAATTGGTTTGATGAATTAATTTGTCATACGGCAGAGTAACGGCCCTTCATTCATACTTTCACCGCAGGTCTCTCCTCACAAGGGCGCTAATTAGTTTAAGTGGCGAGGGGGCGTGACAGAGAGCAGCTTCGTTCTGAGTGACGCCGGAGGCAGGCGTTTTCTGTTTTTGTACGAACTCCATTGATCGCGTATTATTTGAACGTCCCTTTTGTTGCAGTTGGTACTAAGTTCCGCTCCACGTTCTCGGAGCTGATGGTTTCGATCAGAGGGCTCTCTGTGCAGCTGGCTGGAACCCAGGCAACACAGCAGCAGCTGCAGGTACAATTCAAGTTTACACCCCATACTGTGACAACTGCCCTTCGTGTGATACCCTGGTCATATGAATGCAACACATTTTAACAAATGAGTTATCATTTTAGTTTACTCAGAAATGGAAATCAATAAAAAAAAAAATTTCGTCTGACAAACATATTCTTGATCGGATTAATCACAGGGTAGCTGGGTGTTATTCAAAAAAGTCCTGATTAATCGTGATCATAATTAATCATGATTAATCGTGATTAATCGCAGTAACATTGCCGTTCCCAAATATGACAAACTTTTTAATGTATATTGCCGGAATAAAAAGACAAATAACAGCAGGTACATATATGTTTCAGACCTGTTTTGATTTGTGACTGATCCAAATAATCGAATTATTAATATTGACAAAATGTCAAGAAAAATATGTAAAAAATATAACTCAAATCTTTAGCCTCATAGAGTTTGTCGATTTTAGTAATTGAACGATTAAAAAAAAAAAAACAGTCTGTGATTGCCAGAAAATTGCGATGTCAAATTGGGGTCAACTAACTAAAAAAGGACTAGGAACTCAGGATGTCGATATGTTTATTTCGGGATGCCGACATTAGTAATATCTGTAAGAATCTATATCGATTTTTGGTCCCATAATCATAACCCGATAACGAAAATCTTGGGATTCGCCCAAATGATGGGCATGAAGCTCCGATAATGATAACCCGATAACGAAAATCTTGGGATTCACCCAGATGATATGACCTTAAAAATTATTGTTATTGTCATTGTGACTCAGTTCACCACTGCACACAATGAAATGTGCCCTTTAATACTCATATATCGGTAAGTGTTGGGACAATATCGGCATATCGGATATCGGCAAGAAGTTAATATCGGACATCCCTACTAGCAACCCACTGTTTTTTAGTAACGTCTAATGTTTGTTAGTGCCACCAAACTTCCCGTGTGAATGTCTTTGAGTTGGAAAATATGCTTAGAAAAAACAGTTGCTCCTGGGGATGAAGTGTGAATGCTATTATGCTAATTTTTTTTAATAACATTTTTATGCTAATTGTTTTTGAAATACTGCCAGACTAGCTTTAAGTGAAGAAAGTAAATGCATATATTGGTTCTCTTGAATGAAGTAAACTAGTCAAAATAAATATTTTCACTGCCGCCCGGTGCCGGTCCCTGCCCCTGGGGTTGGGAACCAATGATCACATGAAAATGAACATTTTTGAAATTTTTTTTTTTTGTTCCATAAAAAGACCAGCGGGTCAAATCTATGTTCACGTGTATATGCGGCAAGGCCAGAAAGGGCTGCTGAGTAAGTTTAAAGAGGGAGGAAGAGGGAGAGAGAGCAACAGCCTGTCATTACAGCTCATGTGACTGACAGTGTGTGGGTGAGGAGGTAATTGCTGAAGTATGCCTGTGGTGACGAGGGCCTTCACTGGAGCGGATGTTAGGCAGACTGAGAGCGGCGCTCGCAGAGAGCCACGGCGAGCCCAGAACTGATGACTCATCCCTTACACTGCATTCACTCCTATTTGTTTACCCGTCTTATCTGCGGCGCGGCGCGGCGCGCTGACAGACAGAGAACTGTCACCCAGTGATTTGGCTGTC